GCTTAACAAAAAATATGACTAGTTACTAGAGTAGTAATGAAATCATAGTAATTCATGTTCAAGTTTTGAACTTAAGTTACCACAACACTACGTTGTAGTAATGAATAGTCATAGTTATGCAAATATGTTTTATTTTAGTAATATTCTCGTAAAAAATCCTTATCTAGGACTAACAAACATAAAATGTGGTTGTTTATACAATTATCGAGATTGATCATGGGATGAGGCTCAGCCGAAATTTGTGATTCCACTTGAAATTTTATATTTCCTGGCCACTCTTTCAACTTTTATGCCAAACCAATCTACTTCATTCAGCTTGTAATTCAGATTCATCACTTCATAATTCAATTTCAGACGTTAGTCTCTCATTAAGACAATAGCCATAAATCCAGACATTAGTCTGCTGCTCTAGATCGTTGTGCCAAACATAGCCTAAACCAAACTTTGTGATAAAGTATATGAGCCTGAACCCCATGCCCCACATACTCAGAAGACTAAAACAGACAGTTGGCACCGACGTGGTCCCCCGTCGTCTAGATGGTCCTCTGTCGGCCAAATGGTCATGCATCGACCGGATGGTCATGCGTCGGCCAAACACCTATCAACTCAGAATATGGTCCAGAAGTCCAGTGGCATAACTTGGTACTCCTTCGGCCTGGTCCTCCGTCGGCCAAAGAGACCAAAGTAGAACAGATCTTATACTTAGTCAAATAAATCATGTACTCAGCCCATTAGAGGCCTTATTATTATAACGGGTCTTCTAAGCCCAAGGCTCGGAGTCCAAACCCACATTTTCCCATATAAATAGCCCTCTAGAGGAAAGTTATATAGAGTTGAAAAATATTAATGGCTCACTTTCTCTCTCTCTAGCTCCCACTACTCTCTAAGATTAATACTCGATCACTTTAATTACAAAAATATGAGTATACTTGATTCTCTAGATAGGAGTAACTTTCTAATCATCCCCTTGTTATGTTGTAATACAATTCAAATTCTTATTACTAAGTGAGACATAAAAGCAATAAATTAACTTTATTTATAAGGGAAAATGGAAACTAATAATCCAACCTTTTAGCGGTCTTCTTTTAATAGTCTGACCTTTGCATTATTCATGAATAATCCAACCTTTGCACCTCATCTTCATTCATTGGTCCCCAACCGGTTGATGACCTGCTATTCCGAGTTATTTTTTTTTATCTTTGCAAACTATTATACCATAAATTCCACCTTTCACAAAGATAATATTTTGCAAAGATAAGAAAATAACTTGGAATAGCAGGTCATCAACCGGCCAGGGACTAGTGAATGAAGATGAGGTGAAAAGGTTGGATTATTCATGAATAACGAAAAGATGAGACTATTAAAAGAAGACCGCTAAAAGGTTGGATTATTAGTTTCCATTTTCCCTATTTATAATGAAATTTTATTTAAAAAAAATAAAAAACATGAAAATAAATTTTATTTAAAATTAATAAAGAAAAATAGAAAAACAAATTATAAAAGAAACTTAAAGAATAAAAAAACCTAAAAAAATATGCAAGGCTATGCTGCCGCCTCAACCACCTCCTAGCATCACTAGTTTCGACCACCAGAAAATGAAACCATGCATGAGTAATGCCATCTTGACGGTGGTTTACTGGTTTTAGATAAAATTTTGGCATTTTCTAAAACAATAATGCCATCTTCATAGTATTTTCATAAAATGGCATTTTTATACAAGGTGACAATATCCACCGATCGGAGGTGACAGAGGCATCGGAAAAGGTCTCCATATTTTTTTTAAAATATTATTATGTGTTTTATCTATTTGTATTCATTTTTAAAGTTTTTTTTATATAAATTTTAGTTTTTTTTTATATATTTTAAAGTTTTTGTTGATTTTTTTAATAGTTTTTTACAATTTCACTATAATCCAAACTATTTTTTATTATTTTTATGTTTCTATTAAACATAAAAATATAATACTCTTATTAACTTATGATTAAGATAGAATAAAAAGATATATGTCTCGTTTGGCTAACGGCGTCTTTTATCTAAAACACTGATTCCCTTTTTAACTACAAACGCTACATTTTGCAGCGTGAAGACACCAATCAACTAAAAACAAACGAGGCCATAATATACTTGTGCATTTAGACTTTTAGAGCCCGTTTGGTATAATACTTAAACCGGCTGTATTGGTCGATTTTGCTGAAATTTATAAAGTTATGACTGAAATGGCTGGATTGATTGATTTTGTTGATTAATGCAAAAATTATATTTAAAACAAATTTTACTAACAAAATAAAAAAAAAATTATATGAAAAATAACAAAAATGATCATATACAGTAACGACAGTCAATATAGTCGAAAAAGTAATTTTAAACTTACCTTTTTTTATTGTTACATATTTCATTGCTCGAAATAAAAAATCATGGAGTTTGTTGAAAAAGTTTATTGATAAACTTTATAAAATTTATCCCTAAATAGGGCTAAAAAGTGGCAAAATTGCACAAATAGGACTATATTTTTTAAATTCCCCTAATAGGACAATTTATGTGTGTTGGACAAATATACCTTTGTAGCGTTTGAAATGATTTAATTAATAATAAAATCATAAAAATAATAAAAATCATAAAAGATAAAAAATTTGTAAAAAAGTAAAAAAAAAAACATTTATAAAATAAAAATTTATTTAAATAAAATAAAACGTAAAAAAACACTTCGCCTCTGCCACCCCCCAGCACCACTAGCTCCCATCACCGAAAAAAATCTGTCAACATTTTTAGTAATGCCATAATGATGGCAAATTCAATGAAAATGTTGACATAATGAATATTAATTGTACCATCTTCTTGGCATTTTCAGAAAAAATGGTATTTTTTTACAAAGTGACAGAATTTTCACCGATTGAGGTGGTGGTGCTGGGAGGCGGTGGGAAAGGCATCTACTTTTTTTATATTTTTTTTATGGTTTTTACTATTTATTTTAAAAAAGCGATTTTTTAAATTTTTGTTTGTTTTAAAAATATTTTAATAATTTTTACTACATCCGTTCCAAAAAATACTCTCAGTTTGACTTGGCACGCTTATTAAAAAAATAGAATAAAATGGAAATGTATGGTTGTAGTTATGTAAGAAAAAAGTAAAATGAATGTAAGCCACACAAATTATCCAAAAATGGAAAGTGGGAAGTATTTTTTGGAACAACCCGGAAAGGAAAGTGAGAAGTATTTTTTTGGAACGGAGGGAGTATTATTTTTAAAGATTTTTTATTAGTTTTTACGATTTTATTATGAATTAAAACATTTCATTACGGATTATACCCTTGGAAGTATTTAGGGTAGAAAATCAATTTTTAATCCCATTTTGAAAATAGGAATGTAATTCTCATTACAACTTCAACCTGATGCGCTGCGATCTAGAGCTAATGGAGGGGAAACTCTAGGCGGCGACAATCAGATCTTTCCAGCGGAGGGTGGACGAACGAACCACTTCTTCTTCTGCTAGATTAACAATGACGGTCTCTCCCTAGCAGGTCTAGGGTTTGGTTTTTCCTTAGCAGATCTAAGGTTTGGTTCTTCCGGCCGGTTGATAAGAAACCTTGCCCAAGCTTGACGAATATCGAAGCCAAAGTATGACAACGATGAAGATGACCGTTAGAGGTGGATTTGTTACGAGCGCGAGATGAGGAGAGTTGCACGGATTTCGAGCATGCCAGATGGTGATTGACAATGGATGATCAATTAGAGTGGTACAAAGGATATGGCCTCCTCCTGAACCACCGCCATGGGTTGTGCGAGATGTTAGAGTCCGTGAAAGTTTTTCAATAAGTTTTCATTATTTTGTCATTTGGTTTCTTGTTATCGTCTATGTTGTTAAGTTTGTTAGTTTGTTTGGGATTTAGCATTGTTTGATGTCATTGAGCATGTTTGGATCTATGAAAATATGGATGGCTGGGTCAAGCCCGTTACATGATTACCAATTCGTGTTGCTCTTCCAGAGGTGACCGTTTCTAAGGCTCATCATAGGGTTTACAGTCGTAGTTGTTGGAGTCTAGTTGGTGTCAGGTCTGTTTTTCCTTTGATTGATATAATGATCCTGAAACTTATGATATGAATAGATGCTAGTTTTCGTTAAAAAAAAACCTATTTGGAAAATTTGAAAAGTAGTAGTCTTATTTGTATTTATTATTATTATTTATAACTTAAAACATTTCATTATGAATTACTCCCTCCGTCCCCTTTATATTGTCCCAGTTTCTATTCACTTGGTCAACACAAATCACTCTTAATTTCTTACTTTATATATAAAAAATTTATCAAATTTGATTCAGGTTTTTGCGACTTTGTAAAGCTTTTAATGTATTTTTTGAATATGTATTTTTTTTCTAAAAATTATGTTAGTGCGGACAAGGATCCGTCTACTTTATCGTCGGTCAAACATCGTAAACCGTAAAGGGACAATAAAAAGAGGACGGAGTTAGTATATCCTTAGAGACTCATTAATGGACAATTTGTACAACTAAAAGGCCGTTTGATAACACTGTTTTTCGGCTTATCAGGCTTTTCAGCCAAATTTTTCACCAAACACGTAACTTTTACTTTTGCGCGCTGAATTGTGTAATAAGCAAAAAAAGTAAGGTTGAAGTTACTTTCCTGGTTGTATTGACTGAAGTTAATATTGATGATCATTTTAGCTATTTTTACATGTAATTTTTTCTTTATTTTATCAATAAAATATATTTTTAAAATAATTTTTTCTTAAATAAGCAGAATCAACCAATGCAACCACTTCCGCCAGAACTTCATAAATTTCAGCAGAATCAGCCAAAATAGCCGATTTTCATGCTATCAAACGAGCTCTAAATTCATTTGTTTATTCTTGCTATTTTTTTCTTATAAAATTCTCACCGAGGGTTTTGAAAAAAGAAGAAGAAGTTACTTTTAGAGACAAAAAAAAACGAGCTCTAAATTCATTTGTTTATTCTTGCTATTTTTTTCTTATAAAATTCTCACCGAGGGTTTTGAAAAAAAAGAAGAAGTTACTTTTAGAGACAAAAAAATACGTAATAGCAATTTATTGAGGGTGGGAGAGAGGACCATCCTTCACCAGATCCAAGGAATTATATCGTGCGTATATTCTCTGGAAGGGAGAAAGTGAGAAGATGAGTGGCAAAGGGAAACTTATCAATGGCGGCGGCGGCGGAGTTGGGATTATACCCGCGGGGTCTCGGAAGATGGTGGAGAGTTTGAAGGAGGTAGTGAACAACTATCCAGATTCTGAGATCTATGCTGTTCTCAAAGAGTGTAATATGGACCCCAATGAAGCCGTCAATAGGCTTCTCTCTCAAGGTCAATTCTCCGCGATAAACCCTAAAGAACATAATAGTTCTTACTTTCACATTGTCTGATGTAAATGCATCTAGAATTTTGAGGTTTTTACTCTGTTTAGCGTATTAGTTTCCCTTTTTTACTCTGCATCAAGACTGAAAAAATCACAAGTGTTCAATGGCATTCTCCCAACTATCATTTTTCAAGTTCAGTTCTGTAAAAAATGTTCTATCATAGAGGAAGCTTTTTTTTTTCCTTTTTTTCTTTCCTTTTTATGTCAAGATTTTATTTATTTTCTGTATCCTCAATTTCTTTTGTGAGTCAGTTGATGAATGCACACGCTAACTACCATTTTAATTTGGTTCTATTGAATTATTATCTTTGGGTGGGTCAGTGGGTGGAGAGTGTCTCCTTACTTTATTTCTCTACTAAGGTAACCTTTTCTTGATTACCATGGCAAGAGAACACTGGGAGAAGAAACTAGATTGCAGCTTACTCATCAGTGATGCATTAATGATTGGGATAATGACCCACTTTATTTTTTTATTGACTGTTACAACTTATGGGCAATGTTTATTGCAGAATAAGTACCAATTCGATCTCATGCATCTTGTGATGTTAGTTGTTGTGTATGTTTATTGGTTATATTTTTCAATGAAATGCTTTCTGTACGGTTCATTGTTTGTGACATCTTTGGCATATTTTTTCCCAATGCATTGCTATGTAGCATGCGGTACAAATTTAGTTGACAAATTGAGTTACTCAATGCTTGAAATTGAGTATTGCATATTTGAGGTTGTTTCTGAACATTTCTTATTGCGTAAGCCTCATTGCACAACGAGGCATAATACTCATTTTACGTAAATTTATATTAAAAAATACAAATAATGTAGTAAAAAATAAATTCAAATAATCATTAAAAGCCAACAACTATCATCACCAAATCGAGAAAAATGAGGTCATAAAACCAACTAACTATGGACATAGATGCATCTTACTGAACAAATTTCATATTTTGCACTAAGTTACCAACACAATAATCAGGATTATAATTAACAAAAACAAAGGTAACAAAACATTAGTATTGTTTCAAGTTGTGTTTTTACTTATCCAGTTTTCATATGAACGCTAATAAAAAACAATTTAAATAAGAATGTAAATTTTTTCATCCAGCATATATATATGAAAAAAACAATTCATAAAGTTAAAATCACGAAACTTCTTACCCGCTTCATATTCTGCGTTATTATTAAAACCATGCAGCTGCTCATACCCGTATGATTTGAAAGAAAAAATAAAAATAAATTAAAACCACACATGCTTGTCGTGAAGTGGTGAAGAAACAAAATAAATAGAAATTCACGCAGCCTTTAGCCTTCACCGAGAACTGTTGAAACATAGAACCCAGAACTACCCTTCACAGCTGTCATTGCTTATGTCTTTCAGCACAGCCGCCATCGCTCAGAGAAGTAAGCTTGCAGGCTAGCAGCAGAAGTAAAGTCTTAGAAGACTTGTATATGTAATCTTTAAAACATATTTGGGCAATTGGTCTTAAATTCAGAAGCGGGCCCAACTTCATGTCTACTCATGTAGAAGAACTTAATTCTTCACAGGAATGCTTCTACTAGATAAGGCGCTCCTCAGAAAATGTACGCACTATTGCGAATGCAATAGGCGTACGCCTCTGGTACAATTGCTCAAGTTTCAGTATTGCTTATATTGTGATACACCTCCCATCGTAAATAGGAAAAAAAATCTTAAGGCATGCCTCAAGGCAGTACGGCATTATGCAATTTAAAAATCAAAACAGTGGAATTACCTATCTATCCCAGATTTTATGTTATCTTACAATGACAAGTTTCATTCTGTTCCAATCTGTGTTGGGTGCCATGGTTGTTGGCTATTGCACTGTCCACTTTGAGTTCCATTTCAGTCACAGAAGCATTTGTTATAACTTAAAAGCCATTATTGTTGATACATGAGATCATTCATCTCAGGTCTTGATGGCCTTACTTTCGGTCTTCTGTCTTTAGACGGAAAATTAGGTAGTGTAGAATTTTTCACCAAGAGAAGCTACCACATCAGCACTGCAACTTCTTCTTTTCTTTGGGAACATCGATCCCCTTCTTGCTTTGTAGTACTTTGTGTTTACAATTTGATGACTAAAACTGTTATGAATATAATTTTCCTTTTTATGATTGAACTCTTTCCTAATGTGAGTTTTTTATGGACTAGATCCTTTTCATGAGGTGAAAAACAAACGGGAGAAGAGAAAAGAGGTGTGTGGTTTTATAGAAGTGTACATACCTACATATGGAACTAATTACGAATCCCTCTGTATTCTTTTGATTGCTACAATAGGGTTTGACACAAAATTTAAGGGGAAAAAGCAGGGTAGTGAATACAGAGGGAGTATGTAATTAATGCTTTACTTTTTTATTCACCTTAATATGTTCCCGTTTATTTAATAATGGGTGAAATCTGGAAAAGTAAAATGCATGCAAGCCAGAAATATGACTTACTTCCCACTCAATCTTTCTGTGGACTAAAATTAGACCTTAGATTAGAGGTTTAGAAGCAGAAAACTTCATAATGTTTTATTTTGCATTCATTTGCAGAGGTGTTAAGCTCATAGTAGGAGGATTCATATATGCTTTGTGTCTTCCTTTTGGTCTTATCTCCTCTTGTTTTGTCTCTTCTATGTCTCAGAATAAGGATTTTACTGACTCTAGGCCACGTAGTGGTAGTAGTTCACTCCGTGGAGGCAGGGGTGGTGCAGATCGGTTTGTTGGGCGTGGTTGCTCAGGTATCTACATAGTGAATATTTGTCTTTGCGTAGATCGACTAACTGTTGGGTTGAAATAGTGCACAAAACGATCTGATTCATAGAAAAATGCTGTTACTGTTGTCATGTTCTTTTATAGAGTCTACATTGCATGCAAAATATACTTCTGCTTCTAAGAAGGACAATGTGCCTAGTACAACATTAGCTACTGGGTATGCTGGGAGCAACATACATTGGCAACCTACAGCCACCAGGTTAGTTCTAATGAAGTTCCAAATTCAACTAATATGATTCCATGATGCTTTTAATGGAAGTCTTATGGTGATTGTACAAAGATATTTCCTATGTTAAAATCCCTTACTCCCTTTGTCCGTAAATATTCCATATACTTTCCTTTTTGGCCTATCCCGAATTTATCATCATATTTTTTCATGAGAGCATGATGGGGTTCATATTATTTCTCTCTTTTGTAAGTAAGTTTTAACCACACAAGTTCCATTTTATTAATTCCCGTGTTTGGTTGAACTGAGGGTTATTTAGGGACGAAGGGAGTAAAAAGTTTTGGCTAATTCTGACTTCAAGCAAATACTCATCTGTAGCCTCTTAGTTGCATGCCACCTAATAGTAATTTATCAATGTGAACCGAAAAAGAGTAGATAAATGTTACTACTTCCGCCTCGTTGAAAGGTTCCCATGAGAAACGGCACAGTTATTTAGACTAATTAAATAAGGTAATTCGAGTATATTTTGAGAAACAATTTTGGAGTTTTTTTTAAAAAATATCACTAAAAAAATTTATTTACAAAAAAATGACTAATAGTTACTACAATGTAGTGTCATGGTAACTTAAGTTTAACAATTGAACATAAGTTACTATGATTTCATTACTACTTTAGTCACTAGTCACATTTTTGTAAACAATCTTTGTTTTATTCATAAATATGTAATTGTTTCATAATTTTAATAGGTGTGTAATATAATGGGGTTAGTTTTGATAATTGTGATGTTATAAATGTATTTTTTTTAATATTTAATGTTTAAATTGTCATTTAAGATTGTTAATTGTTTCCTAAAATAGAAATTGGAACTTTTATATGGGACGTCCAGAAAAGGAAAGTGAAAACCTTTCTACGGAACGGAGGGTTTACTTGACATTATTATCTTCTTTCCATTATAGGTAGATGTATACACATTTTTAGTTTGTTTTTAGTTTGGAGCTCTATTTCCTTACAGTTTCTCACTGTGTCTGTCCCTTGCCAAGAGTATAACTGAGCCTGTAGGCTGTAGTATGAATGAGCCGTGTCAGAGGCTCAGAGCTTAGCATTCTCTGTTACCTTCTATCTTGTTTGTTTTATGAGTAAAGCTAACCACAGCCTCAGGGAATTGGCTGAGAAATCAAAATAAAAAAGGAAATCTTTTATTGCGAATCATGTTCGAGGGCATTTCAATATCATTGGTGGGTTCATTTTTACATTTGTCAATAAAAGTCTTTTCCCTATTTTGTTATCTTAATCGATTCCTTAAGGGCTGTGGTTAGACTCAGCACTATCCTTGTTTTATTTCGTAAATCTTTGCAATAAGAACCTGTTTTTAATTGAAATTTGTGAACAATTACAGTTGACACTCATATTTCCTTTTTTGCTTCGCTGGGGGGTATTTTTAGGTGTATGTTCATGTAAATTTATGTTTGTATAATGAATAATCTTGTCAATCTACCTTGATGGTTCAATCTACCTGGATGAGTTGTTTTAATATGCATCTTGAACAAATTTACATTAATTCTTACCTGTTTTTAAATCTATGCTATATTTTTTTTTGTATTTTAATCTTGTTTTTTGTATTTCAGTAATGTCCTTGGTAGTGAAAACAAAAACTCATTGGCTGTTTCAACTGATCATATTTCATCAGCCCTACATCCTTCTACTGGACATCAAACTTCTTGGGTGAGTGTTCCGGGTCAAGTATCTATGGCTGATATCGTTAAGATGGGCAGGCCCCCCCACTAAACAAAATGTCAATTTTAACCATGATCATGGACATTCCTACCATGCGGCACATCATTTTTGTAATGATCATGCTTCTAGAAATTCTGAAATACACTTGGACTCGGGGGCATGCTCTATTCAACATGATTCAAATAATAGCGACGAGTGGCCCTTAATTGAGCAGCCACCGGCTTCTATTTCACATCATAACTCAGAGGCTGCTGTAGAACCTCAACCATATCCTGTCTCTTCTAATGTGGGCTTTGATAGAAGTAACGAACATTTCCAAGTAGATGAGATTCAGGAAATAGAAGATCATGGCTTAAACATCGGTACCAGACATATGCCATCATCTGGTCCTATTCCTGACAGAATGTCGGAAGACAGTACTGGACTTCAGTCACAGCAAGACAATGACAGTGACACCTATGGACACAATGATCATAATAGTTCTTTAGTGGTGCAGGAATGTGAGTATACAGCTTACCGGTTGTGCCTTTAGAATGTTGTTTGTGTTACTATACCTAAATTATTGCCTTCACCTTAGGATGAAATGTTTTTTTAACTATATGCATCCATACATACATACATACATACCTACGCACGCACGCATGCATATTTTTATTTTTCTCCTTAGCGTTTTTACTTTTCACAGCTTGTTTGTACTGAAACTTTCTTCCTTCATTGGCATTTGTACCTTTTAAAATAATTTCAATAAAACTCGGTAAGAGCTTCTCGGCTCTTACCCCATCGTTTTGGGTGGGTTTGGGTAATATATATATATATATATATATATATATATATATATATATATATATATATATATATATATATATATAGGGCTCTTCTCATCAGGCCGGCCTGACGGGCTGCCCCGTCCGGCCGAGCCCGTTTGGGCACCTTCCCGGTGGAATTTTTTGATGAAATTTTTTGAGCATGTTCCTGATCAAGTCTAGTTTGTCCATACCAAATTTCAGCTCAAAATTCGATCGGGAAGGTCGTCAAATGATTTTTGCAAGATAACTGGTCCGGAAAATACATATTCCGGACCAGTTAACTTGCAAAAATCATTTGACGACCTTCCCGATCGAATTTTGAGCTGAAATTTGGTATGGACAAACTAGACTTGATGAGGAACATGCTCAAAAAATTCCACCGGGAAGGTGCCCAAACGGGCTCGGCCGGACGGGGCAGCCCGTCAGGCCGGCCTGACATGAAGTTTTCTCTCTCTCTCTCTCTCTATATATATATATATATATATATATATATATATAGTAATGATCCTGTCCATCCGGATGGACAGGAAGCGCCGTCCGGCCGAGGCCATCAGAGGCCCTTCCTGGTGGATTGTTTTGATGAAATTTTGTGAGCATGTTCCTCATCAAGTCTATTTTATCCATACCAAATTTCAGCTAAAAATTCGATTGGGAAGGCAGTCAAATAAATTGTGGAACAAAACTGCGCTGTTTATATATGTATATAAAGCACATTTATCATCAAAATTTTGTTTGACTGCCTTCCCGATCGAATTTTTAGCTGAAATTTGGTATGGATAAACTAGACTTGATGAGGAACCTGCTCAAAAAATTTCATTAAAAAATTCCACCGGGAAGGCCTCTGATGGCCTCGGACGGACGGCGCCTCCTGTCCATCCGGATGGACATGATCTTTTTCCTATATATATATATGGTGGGGGGGGGAGAGAAATCAACTTCAGACACAGACACATTTTCTGAACATGGCTTAATGTCTTGTTTAAGACATCTTTCTTAGCACGTCATTTTTACTTGTACTGAGAAGCACTTTCTTTTTGAGTATGATTTGATATTTTGATTTGAAGATACAATAATTATATCTAAAATCCAGAAAGACAAATGATAGTCGACGATTGAAAAGAGGGCCTAAATGATAAATAATTATACAGTAATGCTCTACACATTACTGTTAATAAAACTATTTTGTACTTATTGGTGGGTGGGTTTTGAGAGCTGGCTGTTATGAACAATTTTATCATTTGCATGACATTTTATGTAACATTGGATTCTTTGTGTGTAAAAATACTACGTTATATAGGAATGAGAATGCGAGCACTTGTACTCCTGCTTTTTACTCATTTTCACTGACATCTTTGATATAAACCTTGTTTTTTTTACTCACTTGTGCTGTCTGTATATTATTACAGTTCAAGATGTAAATGCTACAGTTTCATTGGCTGCTGAAAACATGCAACAACTGACTTTACACAAGGATCACGCTCCATCTGAAGAGGAGGGGCCTTCTGTTGTTATTCCGGACCACCTACAAGTTCAAATTGCAGATTGTTCACATCTGAGTTTTGGTAGTTTCAGGCCTGGAATGAATGCCACTCTTTCTGGTCACTCAACATCTTCTCTGTCTAAAAATCATGTGGAGGAGGTGGTCGAAAATGCAGAAGATTCATCAATGGGGCAATTGCCGACAAGGTGTATACCCTTGTTTATAATGATAGTGATTGGCTAGTCATGTGATGGTGTCATGAGGGTCTTTCCTTGTTTACTCCAATTGTTCCTATTTATCTATTTTCAGTGTCCAAATTTGCTTGTTTCATTTTGTATGTCCTTAGTGTTATGAGATATTTTCATATTAAATGTTTTTCTCACAAACTTTTTCTCATGAAATAATGAGACAGATTTATGAGGGCATATTGAGTAATCACTCGCTGTTTAAAGGAGGGATTTTAAAGTAAAGTATAAGATGTTCTGATTGATTTTATCACTCCAATGCATTTTCTTAAAAGACGTGACTTGGTCAATGAAGAGATACAAATAGGAATGAAGGGAGTGTTTTGTAAATAAGAAATGCATGCTCTAACTCAGCATTTCCTGGCAGAAATTCTGAATTCTATGGTGGCGAGATAAATGCACAGGATAGAAATTTGTTTCATAGGACTGGGAATTACAACTCATCTGCTGATTCACAACCTGATTCATTGAGTGTGGAAACAGGTGAAGTTTCCCATGCGAATCAGTACAACATTCCCTCCTCAGAACCTGGCTATAAATACGAGAAAGCTCAACATTTGACAAGCTCACAGCAGGTCCAGAGCCTAGCTTCTTTCAATGCAATGGTAAGTATTATCTCTGTAATGACTGTGTTCCTTGGGTATCCTGTTATTCCTGCCTGAGTGTCTGAAATGTATAACATAGTGACAGTGGCTTTTAATGGAACTGTGTTCTTCTACCAGCATACTTGTCATGGCGGTAAGTCCAGTCGCGGCGCCAGCTGACCGCCTAGGCGACAAGGCGCCCGCCTAGACGACAACTAGGCGACTAGTTGCCTTTATGTGTATATTATATATAATTATATATATATAACATACTACAGTAGTTTGTATTATTAGTTTATTAGTTTATATAAGTTATAACATACAAAGTATAACAGAATAAATTAATACATTAATAAACAGAATACATGGATAATGGATATGCGGATTATGCGCATAAATAATAGACTACGTATATAACTACACAATTAATAATACGTATATAACTATATAATTAATAATATATAACTATACAATTAATTATAAATCTTAAAAACCATAAGCCACTAGTCCGCTACACACTTAGGACGAGAAGAGAGCAGAACCCTGGGAAGTCGTCTTCTTCCTGGAGGCTGGAGTTGTTTAGTTACTGCGGTTCATCTCATCGCCTGCTTCTGGAGTAGACTTGCGTCTCTATGGCGATTAGGCGACTTTTTTTTGGCAAAGCGATTGGCGACTTAATTCGTAAGTTTATTAGATTTATAGATTATTTTGGGGCTTTGGGCTTTATTGTTAATTAAAAGCCTAAATCTTAATTAAGAAATTAAAGCCTAAATCTTTCTGGGCCTCGGGACTCCGGGTTCGACATGTAAAACGGCGCAGGCTTGTCGCCAACATCGCGCCTAGACGACGCCTGGGCGACGCCAAGTGTGACTTCTTTTCTTCTGGCGAGGCGAGGTACTGCGGCGAGCACTCTCCAGCGCCTGGATGCCTAGTCGGCGACTAGGCGACACCGTGACAACCTTGTATACCAGACACCATTCTGTCAGCTTAATCATACTCCCTCCGTCCCAAAATGGTTGGCCAATGTTGACTTGCACGTAGATTAATAAAGTAAAAATTGTGTGGTTGAAATTTGTGCAGAGGAGAGAGAATTAACTTTAGCCACATATTCCTTACTTTAAATGGAAATGGCCAACCATTTTGGAACGGCCAGAAAAGGAAATTTGGCCAACCATTTTGGGACGGAGGGAGTATTTAACTCGAAATTTATATTTTGAGGTGGTCTTTAAAAGCTCTTTAGGTCTTTTAAGTCTTTTAATTCAAGTTTTTTACAGTTAAATATTTGTTAAAAGTAATTGGATTTTATTTTATTTTAAGTACTCCTGTGTCTTTAGGGAATAAGGTTTGGATGTTGTCATTGTAGAGTACTCCTGTGTCCATACATCTTACGGTGTCGCCTAGTCAGAGACTAGGCGTCCAGGCGCTAGGGAGGGGTCGCCATGGGTCATCGCCTCACCTGAAGAACATTAGGTGACAAAGGCATCGTCTAGGCGAGTTATAGGTGTCTATGGCGCCGTCCAGTCGTCTTGCCAGATCAAATTTTAGAAACCCAACCCCCAAAACCAGATTTGGAATGTAGAAAATTAGGAGCGGAGACCAAGGAATGTAGACGACGCACTATTAACCGTCACAATTCTTCTAAGGTAGACAACGCCCTCTTTCATGGCAAGTCCTTCCGTTGACTGTCGCAAGTCGCAACTAGCAAGCTAAACGATGATTTTTTAAGGCAGCTCCTTCGTTCTGAATTAAGCTTTGGATGATGTGTGGTTATCAATGGAGTCCATTAACAAAGTGGTGAAAGAGATACTCGTAGAATCTAAAGGATGTTTGCCACCAAAAAAGGACACGTCGTGGTGGAATGATGAGGTGAAACAAGCAATAAGGACCAAAAGGGAATGCTATAAGAAATTGGGCAATAGTTGGAGCGACGACAACATAGAGGAGTACAAGGAGGCTAGAAGAAGAGAAAAGAAAGTTGTGAAGGAAGCCAGAGAAAAAGTGAACAAGGAATTGTATGTAAAATTGGATTCCAAGGAAGGAGAAAAAGATATCTACAAACTTGCTCGCCTTCATGATCGTAGGAATCAAGATATCGAAAAAGTTAAGTGTGTGAAGGATGTCGATCAAAGGGTACTAATGGAGGACGAGGAAATAAAAGAGAGGTGGAGGTCATATTTTGATACCTTGTTCAACGGGAATAAAGTGCAAGATATTGATGATCTTACTATACCAGAGTGAATGGTAAATCGAGACTCCGTGAGAAGGATTCAAACAACAGAAGTTAAAGAGGCTATGAGAAAAATGGGGCGGAAGAAAGCAGTGGGCCTAGATGGCATACCGATCGAGACTTGGAGAAGTTTGGGAGAGAAAGACATTGAGTGGCTAACACGTTTCTTCAACATGATTTGGAGAAATAACAAAATTCCAGTGAGTTGGAGGAAGAGTACTCTCATTCCCTTATTTTTATTTAAAAATAAGGCTGATGTACAAGAATGTGCCAACTATCGAGGAATTAAGCTTATGAGTCACACCATGAAACTGTGGGAGCGAGTGGTTGAGCAAAAACTTCGAAAAAGTGTGAAAATTTTGGAGAACCAATTTGGTTTTATGCCAGGACGCTCAACAACGGAGGCTATTCACCTTCTTAGACAAGTTATGGAGAAGTATAGAGACACTAAAAAGGATCTACATTTGGTGTTCATTGACATAGAAATTGCATATGATAGTGTACCTCGAGAAATCCTTTGGTGGGTCTTAATTAGAAAAGGCATATCACGTAAGTTATCAGTATTATATGTACTACAAGTGTCCGCACTAGTCTAGGGAGGACCGTGGAGTTCCCTATTACTATCAGAGCGCACCAAGGATATGTTCTGAGTCCTTTCTTATTTGCTATAGTCATGAATGAGCTTACGAAGTCAATTCAAGAAGATATACCGTGGTGCATGATGTTTGTCGACGATATTGTATTGATTGATGAGACGCAATCCGGTGTTAAAGCAAAGCTGGAAGTATGGCGACAAACATTGGAGACCAAGGGTTTCAGACTGAGCCGAAGCAAGACTGAGCATATGGAGTGCAAGTTTGGGGGAGGTAGAAGTAGTAGCAACAGTGGGATTACTCTTGATGGTAAAGAGATACCGGTGTGTGATATGTTGCGTTACTTGGACTCCATAATTCAGAAGGATGGTAAATTAGATGGAGATGTATGTCATAAAATCAAAGCTGGGTGGATGAAATGGAAGAGTACATCAAGATTTTTATGCGATCGAGGTATGCCGACTAGACTGAAAGGTAAATTTTATCGAACAACAATTAGGCTTGGATTAATGTATGGCGTAGAGTGTTGAGCGGTGAAGCAATGCCACATTCAAAAGATGAGTGTGGCGGAGATGCGTATGTTGCGTTGGATGTGTGGATATACCAGAAAAGACCGTTTGAGGAATGAGATAATCAGACAAAAAGTGGGAGTAGCGCCTATAGAAGATAAGATGCAGGAGTCTCGTTTGCGGTGGTTTGGGCATGTGCGTAGAAGACCAAGTGATGTATCTGTTAGGCGACTTGAGGGGTGGGGAGAAGAGGCAGAGAAGAAAGGGAGGGGAAGACCCAAACAGACTTGGATTAGAGGAATAAGAACTGATATGCGTCTTCTTGGGCTGGATGCGAGTATGACTTTAGAGAGAGCAAAGTGGAGGGCGCACATCCGTGTGGACGATTGATGTCTTTTGTACCTTTCCTCTCTCTTCTCTTTTATCGTGTATCTTCTTTATCTTTTTATATTCTAATGTTATTTTTATCTTCTAGCTTTTTAATGTTCTTTTATCTTTCTATCTTTTTTTATTTTTTATTTTCTTATGGTATTGTTTTCTTATATTTATTTATCTTTATTTTATCCTTCCCTCCCTCCCTCCCCTCCCCTCCCCCCCCCTCCCCTCCCCTCCCCCCCCTTCCCTGCCTTCGCTTCCTCCCTTCCCTCCCTCCCCTCTCCCTCCCCTCCCCTCTCCTTTCTCGTCTTCACTGTTTGGCATCGATATCATAGATCGATTCATGTTAGCCGACCCCAAATTCTTTTGGGATTAAGGCTTGGATGTTGTTGTTGTTGAATACTCCATATTTTTATTCTTCTTGTATGTCCTCTCTTTTTGGCATAACATGGATAACATGGATCAATTCATGTTAGCCGACCCCAAAATCTTTTCGGACTAAGGCTTGGATGTTGTAATACTCCGTATTTAACTATTATTATTATTATTATTATTATTATTATTATTATTATTATTATTTGTTTTTCTGTTTTTGCAGTGCAATTTATTTTTTATAGCAGGTTACGTTCTCAGTGAAGCTGCTATAGTATTATTTTCTTGCGTTATTCTTTTAATTCCTAAACTATATTTTTTGTATGAAACAGTATTTGTATAATATATACAGGTACACATATTACATATGATATAACTAGTCGCCTAATTGTCGCCTAGGCGGGTGCCTAGGCGGTAAGGCTGTCCGTTGGCGCCGCAACTCGCCTTACCGCCGTGACAAGTATGCCTGTGTAACCATTTTATGCAGGATATGACGTGGCAAAAAGTTTATGAAAATTTATGTAGTTGAAATTTATTCATTAAGGGAAGAATTTGAAACAAACAATTTTTACTCAAGGGAAATAAGATTTAATTAGAGACGACCAACAAGGAAAGTTGGAAGATAAAAAGGTGACAGATGGGGGCATTTGTAATTAAAAAAACAATAAGTGAATAATGCAATTTTGCAAGGAAACTTCAGCCTCCTTCCAGATGGTGAATAACTGCACCCTTGATGACACATATTTGGTCATTCTGATAGATATGAATCTCCTTCTGACATATTTCTTTCATGTAGTAACTTGACATACTTCTGCCCCTTTCCCCTAGTAACTGGACTGATTGCTTAGTGTTGCCTCATTATTTTAATGAGTTTTTAAGCAGTCTGGCATGCATTGCGAAGTTATTTTTGTATTGATTCTCTTGGAATTTTGTTGAAACTAGGGATACACAAATTCGTTACCAAGCAATTTGTTGGCAGCTAATGCTCACGCTTTTAGGGAGTCTGAAATTTCATACTCAATATTTCCCACACACACAATGCCCCCAAAGTGTGGCAACTCAGTTTCTTCTGTTGGTGGTCAGTCTCTTTCTATGCCAGAGGTGCACATTCTTGCAATTGGCTTTCCAATAGATAATCATGTAAACATGTAATTTCCCCTTTTAATGTTTTGGTTATTAACCTGGTGCAGGCTATGAAAACAGTTGGCTCATCAATATCCATGCCAGAGGTGCACTTTCATGAAACTTACCTTCAATTGATATACATGTATACATTTAGAGTCAGTTTGAAAAATATCCTTAACTTAAGGCTATATTTGGAACTTGGAAAATGGTAGGGAGAAGAAAGAAAATGTCAAGGTAAATGAATTTTAATGTTTCACATTACATTGGAAGATATGAAAGAACATCAAATTTGAATTCATGTTTTGAAAATATACACGTTCAGATTCTTTAGTTTGTTTTTGACGGAAATCTGTAGTCTCCATTTAATAGAAATAGCCAAATAAAATGGGTTCAGACAGATAAATAAAATTGATTTATTGAGTTTGAGCATGTTTTTCATGTTCCTTCAATTTTCTTTCATTCCAATCTTCTCATCCATTTATGTTATTTACTTTCCTTAGCATTTCCATGTTTTTTTTCAGGCCCTTAGGGTGACCCCAGGAAATTTCCCTAGTCCCCAGATCCCCCTCAACCTATTTATGCAATGACTGAAGTTGATTGTGCTATTAACGTGCTGCAGGGATTAAAAAATGTCGGTATGTCATCAGCACATCCACCTAGTCAGCAGAACCCTAATGGGAGTGGTCTCACAGGACCAGCTTTACCACAACACCTCAATTTACATCCATATTCGCAACACACGCTTCCTGCATTGAGTCCCTATGGCAACATGATTGGCTATCCTCCTTTTCTGCCTCAAGGTTATACATACATGCCCTCTGCTTTCCAACAAGCATTTGCGGGTAGCAGTGCTTACCATCAACCGTTGGCTGCAATGCACCCTCAATACAAGAGCAGTGGTGTATCAGTTAGCAGTTTGCCTCCCCAATCTGGTGGTGGCATTCCTTCTGGCTATGGTTCATTTGGGAATACAAATGCAGTTTCCGGTAACTTTGAAATGAATACCCCTGCCGGAGCTCCGTCAGTTACTTCCTTGGGCTACGATGATTCACCAATTCCTCAGTACAAGGACAACAATCTTCTAATGTCTCTTCAGCAGGTAAAGGTCTGTTTAGTAACGTTTACTGTTATTTGTTAATACTTTTGTTTTGAATGTGTAAAATTTAAAACTTGCTCAGTAAATTGTATGCATATTTGGTTTATACTCCCTCCCTTCCTGAAACAATGTCCTACTTTCCCAAAATGGAAGTCCCTAAATTAAAGTCCCGCTTCTTTAAGTTCCTTATTTGGTAAACAATCTATATCAAAGAGAGCAAAGTAGTGTCAAAACAGTGTCAAACAGTGTCAAATAGTGTCGCTACAGTGTGAAGTCAAATTCATTTCCTTAATATGTGTGAAGTCAAACTAGGGCATTGTTTCAGGGGTGGAGGTAGTATGATTTATTATGAAAGTATATGATATTTATTCAAACTCTAAGCCTTTGTTTCGTTGGCAGCATTTTGTAAAGGGGGGGGGGGGGGGGTTGGAGGATATTGATTTTAGGATTATTAGCTTATTATATCCCTATCCCTAACTAAGACTTGAACTTCATCTTTTTTAACAATTATACTTTTCCGTAGTGACTTCAAAATTACAAATTTATATCAATAATTCAATATCGATATTTTTTATATACTTGTATTAAATTACATAATTTTTATTTAGTGTACTTCTATTTTCTTCATAAATTAGCATGAGTTTAAAATAAATTCTTACAACCATATATATTGATCTATAACTAGATTTTTAAAGAAAATATCAAAAAGTAATACTAGTATATAATTATATAGTGTAACTAATCCATGAATTAACTAGCTGATAAATTACCGTTTTTATAGAAGTTGCTAAAATAGTTCAAACAACAATTTTTGTTGCTTAATAAAACTTATTTGATACCAATAAAATTTCAAACTCTTTATACAGTTGTATGTGACTGTTTCATCTTACTAGTTATGTTTCATATGTTATGCGCTATTGTTTTATTTATAATAAGTAATACTAATTTCACCACAAGTAAAAAAATACTGTTTATAGAAATAGGATTTTGTATAAAAGATTATAAGCAATATAAGTTTCTCAACTTAAAACCAGAAAGAAATGAAAAATATGAAATAGAAATAAGATTTTCTTTTAAAATATTACTAATAATCTATTGGACGTGTAATTGTGAAAAGTTGAAGTTTTAGTCTTATTTTGGTAAATGTTAAAGAATAAGATAAATTTGTGAATTTAATGATAGTTGGGGATATATTTAGGTAATAATGCTTTATTTTATTCATTTATTCTTACATTTAGATGGTCAGAATGAAAGTGATGATAAAAAACTTGTAAGGGTGGTGGGTTGGTGGAATAGCTGAAGTAATAACTGAGAGATCACAAATCGGCCCTGCCAACACCTTCTTTGTCGAGTTTGTCACACCGGGATTACCTAGTGTAGTTTACTTGGCTGGTGTGGTTTGCATGTTAATGCACTCTGACCATAGCAGTTGCGGGTACCCTGTGAAAAAGATACAAAATATAGAGAAATACAGTATGATTATGTAACTAAACATATACTCGGTTGTTTTCTAGCCCAAGACTCTAAAGTAGGGATGAATCAATAAAACAAACATTAATCATCAGCTCCTGTTCCATCCAAACTCACCCAACCAGACCCAAATGATTTCGTGGTGTAAAAAACGGAAGCATATTTCTGGAAACAAACAAAACTTTAAAGTCCTTTGCCCAACAGTGTTCAAGATTCTGCAATTTTTTCTCAGAAACTTGAAACCAAAACACTAATATGCTCTACTTCAATAATTTTTATTATTTCTACTTTCCGTGTTTCTTTCCAGGGAGAGAACAATCCTGCTACATGGCTACATGGACCTAATTCAAGAACAATGTCATCTTTTCCCACCGCCAGTAATTATTACAGTTATCAGATACAGCAGCACCAGCAACCTGGTGGGTTCAGACAAGCTGAACAGCAACCTGGTGGGTTCAGACAAGCTGAACAGCAACCACCCCCACAGAATTATGGATCTTTGGGCCACCAGAACTTCTACCATTCACATACAGGTGGAATATCAATAGACCATCAGCAGCAGAAACAAAACCCCAGAGATGGTTCATTAACTGGTGGGGCCCAAGGGCATCAGCCTACACAGTCCCCTCAACAGATGTGGCAAAACAACTACTAATTTCACAGCCCTCATGGTTTTCAGGCTGGGTCTTGTAATGAGTGTGAAAGCGACCTTTCAAGCTAACCAGTTGCCCTTCGGCAATGATTTCATTGAGCTCTTATATCCTGTCCCAAAGGACCTGACTGGTTACTGGCTTACTACCCTATTCCTAGAGAGGTTGTGCTTACATGTTCATTCATTGGTTAGTGTAACGTAGGGCATAAAACTGTTTTCTTTATGTTTTTAGCTTTTTTACTTTATTATAAGAAATTCCCATGTTATAGGCTTATAGCCATCATTCTCTCATTTGGGAATTATGGCCTGGTTTTCCTGATTGTACGAACCCGTGTGCTCGCATTATGGTTGCTAACCAATTTTAATTCCTCTCATTTTTGCCATCTGAAGAGAGAGAGATCCTTATTTGTGTACTACTTTAAGGTAGGCTTGGACTGGGACTGGTCGGACCCCGGCCCGGGCCTTGGACCTGAACCGGGGGGGTTTGGGGTCGGGCTCAGGCTGCAGCCCTCTTGGAACCGGCCCGGGTCCAATTTTTTTTTATTTTTTTAGTTTTTCGAATGGATTGGGTAAGAGGCGGGTTGGGTTGGGTGCTTTGGGTGGTGGGGTGGTGGGGGTAGGGATCATTAAGAAAAACTATTTTTTTTTAAAAAAAATATAAGACGGACCCGGGCCCAGCTTGGTCTCGGAACCTACCCGGGCCGGTACCGGGCCTAATGCCCAAAAAATTGACCCGCCCAAGACCTGGCCCGGTCCCGGTCCTGACCCGGCTTTTAAGGGTGGACATAAAAACTAAACCGGTACTGAACCTATCCGTAAATCTCGTAATGGTACTGAATCAAATATTGAATAATTGAATATTTTTAACGGTTTTATAGAGTTTGAAATGGGTGCAAAATAGGTTTTAGCTTTTGAAGACTGCAAAATATCGGACTATTACAAAACAATACATATAATTTTTTTTATTTTTATTTTTCTTTTATCCCAGATTCCCAATAAATTTCTTGTTCACATCAATACTTTTATAACCGAAGTACACTTTAAAAATTTGGTATATTGATTTTTCTTGGTCTATGATGACCAAGTTTGACCAATGATATATTTTACAAATAAATTATTTAAAGTATGAAAAATTAATGAAAATATTCTATGTTAAAAAAGTTTTTGTAAAAGTATAAAAATTACAAATTTCTCACAAGTATAATATGTCTCAGTTAAGAATAAATAAATAAAACCCACAGAGGGCTGAATGTATCAAAAGATGAATTTTGATATGTGAATTTTAATATAAACATTATAAATTAATATTTTCTTAAACTATGCAAATTCGTATTTTCCTTACTATTTAAAAAGTAATAATACAAATCAAACTTGTTAAACCATAATATAAACTTAATTTCAAAAGTAGTAAACAAATGATTATTGGAAACAAAGAAACTAATATTTTGAAAATTAGACAATATTTTAAATAATAATATCAATGAAACAAAGACAATCTTAATACAAGAATTTAACAGTGAATTTTGCAAAATAAACTAAGTAATGTTTCGACCTCAATAATAAGAATATCATAAGAAATTTCTTCAAATAAGGTTAAAACCATAAATAAAGTGTACAAATAGGACTAACTATTTGATCCTATTAAAGGTATAAAATTTCGTCATTTGTTAAAAAAAGAACTTCCTCATTTAAGAGTGAATGAGTCTTATTAGAAAAAACATGGTAGTTTTATTTGTGCACTTTATTGAATCTCATTTAAGGAATTTTTTGTTATATCATAGTTTCAATAAGAATACAAATAATAAATGTATAATTGTGACAATGGTGTTACAATAATAGTGATTTTAGACCTAGTATATTATTAGTAGACATAAATATTGAAACTAGGCACTATTTTTTTTTATTTATTATAACTAAAAAAGGAATATAAAGAATTTATCATAAATGAATAGAAGAAATTGATTCCAAATCAGACGGCGACCGGGAGAAACAACATCAGAAACGGACGGAGATAGAAGCTTCGACCAGGACAAAACGGTAGCAAACATTAGAATAAAAAATGTACCCATCCATACACGTACGTACTTATGAGGAGGACGTGTGATAATAATGTGATATTGGTGCAAATACAAATCAACTATGCCAGTCAGTTCATATTTCATTGCTCGCCATCTTGTTCATTGTATCACTTCAAAACAGATCGATGTTCACGAGCAGTTGCACAAAGAAAATGGAGAAAAGTAGATTGTTTTCATATTCCCTACTACCCACTATACAATTCTCAAATATACTAAAGGGTTTGTTTGGATCACAGAAGATAAGCTAGCTAAGGAAAGGAAAAACAGATGCCATGAAATGAAATGTTATTTTCTTATGTATGTTAAAGAAAATGCAATACTCCCTCCAACCCAAAACCATTGTTTGTAATTGCACAATGCGATTGCGCCTAATGACACCCTAAGCTAATTCCTAAATTATCGCATACAAGGCAATGCCTATTTGTAAAACCCTATTCTGTCTAAATCAATCATATTATAATATTGGTGATCCTTATTTAAGAAGGAAACAATGATGATCTGATATGTACACTATACAAATGCATAAATCAATAATTTAAGAAATTAACTCTATTATTATCACCTCCGAAATTCTCCCCTCCAATGATGTAATCATTCTGAATCATTTTATTTTTAGTAGCTAAATTATTGTTCTTCTATGAGTTCTCATCTTGAAGGGAACATTCACAACTTAAATTCTTTACACAAGTAAACTTTCCATTGAATTTTTTTACTTGGCGCTGCTTTGTCTAATTTTCTCCTCTTTTGATATACAAGTAAATCCTTTTTATTACACCTTGAAATTAATTAAATTTATAAATTTTAACATAATTGAAAATGTTTGTCTAACAAAATCAACAACTTATAACACCAACACTCAATAGAAAACAATCAACAATTAAGAAATCAAACAATTAACTATGAATGAAATCAATTAATAAACTAATCAAATAATCATATCAGACTAATCTGCTTTCGAGTGGAACTTTTTATGAAATTTTAAGAAAACGTTTTTCATCAAATGCAAATTATGCCCATAAGATTTCAACTTAAAATTCAATCGTGAAGTGAGTTAAATAAATTACTGAAAAACAATGCAACAAAATATGTATACGTACAAATCCAATGCTTTTCAATAATTTATTTAACTGACTTCTGTCCAGCAGTTCAGACATGAGCCGCCGTCCGAACACCGCTGTTTGGGGTGGTTCCTGGTGGATTTTTTTGATGAAATTTTTGGAGTATCTTCTTCATCAAGTCTAGTTTATCCACAAAAACAATGAGGTCAAAATTCGATCGGGAAGACAGTCAAATAATGTTTTGAAGTTAATTGCGTTTTTGCATGTATAATTTGGCGCAGTTAACTTAAAAAAATTATTTGACTGCCTTCCCGATCGAAGTTTGATCTGAAATGTTTTGTGGATAAACTAGACTTGATGAAGAACATGATCAACAAATTTCATCAAAAAATTCCATTGGGAACCGCCTCAAACGGCGATGTTCGGACGGAAGCTTCTGTCCGAACTGCTGGACAGGAGCACTTTTTTTTTCTTTTCAGGAGCACTTATATATGTGTATGTATATATATATATATATATATATATATATATATATATATATATATATATATAGAGCACTCTTCCGGTCAGGAATTCCTGACCGGAACCGCCGTCCGGACGGAGGCGTTTGGCCGCCTTCCGGGTGGAATTTTTCGATGAAATTTTTGTGACATGTTCTTCATCAAGTCTAGTTTATCCACAAAAAAATTCAGCCAAAAACTCATTCGGGAAGGTCGTCAAATGATTTTTGCAAGTTAACTGGTCCGGAAAATACATATTCCGGACGAGTTAACTTGCAAAAATCATTTGACGACCTTCCCGATTGAGTTTTTGGCTGAATTTTTTTGTGGATAAACTAGACTTGATGGAGAACATGCCATAAAAATTTCATCAAAAAATGTCACCGGGAAGGCGGCCAAACGCCACTGTCCGGACGGCGGTTCCTGTCCGGAATTCCTGACATGAATAAAATTCTATATATATATATATATATATATATATATATATATATATATATATATATATATATATATATATATATATATATATATATACTAGCATTGGCACGCGCTTTGCGCGAAGGTCGATGCCCAATGGCAAACATTTGGCCAATATGAAGGGAGCAAAATAAATCAACCATATTAATATTAACATAAACGAGAACACACAAGACAACAGTAGAAACAAAAAAAGCATTTGTAACATTCATATTACAAGCATATCTGCAATAAAGCAATTACAGTGCCAAGATACTGGTCTTTGAGAAAACACCATTTTTTATTTAATAAATATTCATCACAATCTCAATTTTCTAGAATTATGATAACATAGTATCAAAAAACCGGGACCGCTCTTCCAAATCAACAGACTTAGTAGTGAAGTTGCGAAAGATGTCAAGAACAATGAATCCAATGATAATAAGGAGTTAACAATGACTTCACTGCGAAAGAGACTCCTAAGATGGAGTTTGCCAATAATACCTTAAGTCATCCAAATTGTATAGTTGTTTGGGCTACAAAAAACCAACAAAACAATATTGAGTTGTGTAAAGCATAACACATTAGTAAAGGCTTACAGGAAGTGCAATAAAATCTAGGAGAGGATGCAAGTTCACAAGTAATGGTTTATTAAAATTCAGATAATGTTTTAAAAATTGTGAGAAATGAACCCCTTAAAATAAAATAAAATTGCAAAGCAAGAAAGTGGAAAGAAAATGCTAAACCTACGAGACGTCTGACTGAAAAAGTGTATTATTGTAAACTGACAGGTATTAAGCCTTCCACAGTGGTGGACTTGGCACTTCCAATTAGCACTAACAATTTCTTAAAGGTGACTAACAAGCATGCAAATGAATCTGGGATGTTGAGATAAGAAAAATATAAACAAGAAAGGAAAAAATTGACCACTCCAATGCATATATGTAAGGCAGGCAGTAATATGCATAAGTTGCCAAGGTTATATAATACATATTGTTCTCAATAATTTCCTAGTAAACAAGTTTACGAAGGAACAAAAAGTAAGTCCCGTCCACAAAGATAAATTTTTATCCTCAAAATGTTTTAAATCCCTATATGCCTTGCTGTTTTCCTTTTACTTATTGGCAGTATAACTTAGCTTCATTTTTTATTTGGATATTTAACTTAGCATATTCATACATAGAATACTCTGAACATGCAGATCTGACACAATCCTAAGATATACTTCTAAGTTACAAAACTAAGTAAAAATAGAAGGAAAGAATGAAACCAATCACCATCTTGTTTTTTAGGATAAAAAAATAGCAACTTTG